ATTGAAATAAAAAAGTCTTTATTTATAATATATTTGGTTGTAGTACTAATAAAATTAGCTTCCAAATGAAGTGTCACACTTTACCATAGATAATAATTTTCTATCCCGCTAGAGGGCGCTAAACTTAAAAGGAACGCAATGAACAGTCATATTGCTGAATTCCCTATAAAATTACTTTTCCGACTATGTGTCATACTTGATGTTGGTTAGATTGATGTAGGGGAGAGGAATGTATATAACAGTTTAGGGTATTATAGAAAGGTGTCCCCCTTGAAATAAAAAACCGACCTGTTTTTGCGTTCCTTTCAAAAAAATTCTACTTCAAGATATTCTGAGATACGGCTGGTCGCCACCCTTATAAAATAATAAAATGATATTGAATAATCTAAAATGTATCGTTCTGTATCTCGTTCGTACAAACAAAAATAAGACACATTTTACCCAAATTTGGTTATAATAATACATGACACTAATTTAAAATGTTTCATTTGTGTAACCCATTAAGACCATAAAGGTAGAGCTTAAGTTGAGCTATTATTATAGATCTATATCATCAAATAATTTCTTATAACATAAAATATATTTATATTCCGTTACAAGTGCTATTAATTTAATTAAAATATTGCATTTTCTATGTTATAATCAAAAACTTGTAACGCTATAATAACTTATAATACGTTTATTAAAATAGTTAATCCTTCATTTCAATGTAGAAAACTAGAATAATAACTAGAAATACCTACGCAACGTAAATAAGTAGTTTTTAGTATTTACCCCATAAAAACTGGTATTTGCACCACTTCATACTATATTTTCTTAGTTCTTTATGTTTATGCAACATAAATTATGTTTATGATAATATAAATACAAAATACATTTTAAAAATAAGGATATCTGCATCTACTTACCCCTTATTGTTATTACTCACCGTTAACTTCGAAAAAACTTACTTTGTGCCATTTTCTAACAATATTAGTACATTAGCTGATTATGATTTATTAACAGTAGAGAGGTCAAATTCTAAAGTAGACTGTAACGCTAAAAATAATGTAAAGTACCTGGGACTACATATAGATTGCCACCTTAGATTTGATAAACATATTTAAAATGTAGTTAAAGTCCTGAGGACATTGTTGTACAAATTTAGGTATTTTAAAAATATTATAGATCCTTGTCATCTCAAAACTATTTATTTTGCTCTGATCGAATCAAGGTTAAGATATTCGATTATTAATTGGGAAGGAGCTGCCTTTTGTTACATAAAAAAGCTAGATGTACTACAAAAACGGTTTCTAAAAATAATTTTTAAAAAGAAACTTAGACACCCGTCCCACCTTCTGTTCTTAGAGGCAGGAATACTTGATATAAGACAGTTATATATGCACCAAATAATTATATTTATTTATAAAAATAAAACAAATTGCACCTTATAAATCACCGTCACAATACAAGATATAGAGAAAATCTAAATGTACGTACACAGTTTTCACGAAGAAATGTTAGCATCCGAACACATTTACACCAAATGAGTAAAGTATTTAATAGTCTCCTCAACATAAACTCATTAAAATTCATTAAAAACCATTTTAAAACATACATTATAAACTTAAGAAGGGAAAATGTTCACCACTTGTTAAATGTCTAATAATTATTATTTTAATCTTTTTTTTATTTAATTTTGTTTGTTACAATGTTCTGTTTTTTTTTATTGTTACTTTTTTCTACTTTTTAATAAAATACATGTTGAAATAGCTAGAATAATTTTGTGTATAAAAATAATTGTCAACACACTCAAAAATTATAATAAATTCGTCCATGCACAGCCTCTTTGGCTTTTATGGATGAACTCGCACACACGTTTATTCTGTTGCTGTGTCTTATTAAATTTATATTACTTATTCTTATAATGTCTAATTTTTGTATGTATTAGTTTGTATATTTTCTGAATAAACTATTATTATTATTATTATTACAGTATTGCCCAAAATAAACAGTACTGAACTTGTCATTTTTTTTTTATTTAGGAAATACATATTATTGTCACTTTAGTACAGAAATCGATTTGTGCGATTCAGATGATCCAACAAATGAAAATGTGCTTCGTCTGAAAACCATACATTTTTCAAAAACTCGCTATTTTTATACTGTAACGTGAGAATGCTGGCGTAATATTTTACTGCGATAATTCCGATATAATTGATGATGTACCCAAATCACATATGAAAATACACCTAGATCCTTTAGGATTCTTTGAAAGAAAGTTCTTTTTATATAACTTTGTCCTTCTCTGGCTGCCTTTCGGATTTTCTAAGATTGCTCAAAAAAGAGTACATGCTTATTGTTGTTGTTAACTCTACTGGGACGCACCGAGTTTCCTTTTCGTTGGCACAATACATTACCAGTATTTCTGAACTTTTCAATCCCCTATAAAATTAGGCATTACTTTGGGAACGTTCATTAAATCGTTGTGTGAATTGATCACACACATATCGCAGACTTGCACCATTGCCGAATGATTCCGTATGAGCGAAAATAATCTTCTACTAAAAAGACTTTCTCGTCTATACTTAACACTATTTTTAACAATTAGGCCCTACTAATTAATTGTTTAAGGTTTACTTGTCAGATCTATACTAGCTAACTTGGGTATGACAGCGGGCGCAAAGAGATACCGACAACTTAGTTTCAGTACTGTTTATTTCGGGCAATACTGTATTTTTGGTTGAACAATTTCACTGCTTCAAAGCACAACGCCTTTCTCAAATGCATTCAAACAAATGATATGGATGCGAGTCCGAGCTCTAGTGACCGGTTCGAATAGACAAATTCTTGTTTTTATATCACGTGCATCTCATAAACTCCCATTTAAAAGTAATTCTAATTAAAAAATGTAATTGTAATTAAAAAAATAATTGTTATTGGAAAAGTAATTGTACTTATGACAAGTAATTATATTTAGACAATTCAAATAATATATATTATTCTAATTACAAAGTACAATTCTTCCACATATTTTGCTGCAATTACAATTCCAAATTACTTGAAAAAAGTAATGGTAATTATTAATTACTTTTTAACTAGGAATTAGATAGCTCTGCTACCTACAACAAAATATATTATAGACGAGATAGCCCAAGAAAAAGAAAGAAAATTTCTCATATTGTCCTCTTACCATGCAGAGTTAAATCCCATTGAACTGATCTGGTCACAATTAAAAGAATATGTTTACTCGAAACAATAAAACATTTAAATTACCTAATGTGCGAAATTTGTTTATAAAGGCAGTTTCAGATGTAAATGGAGAACATTGGAGTAAATGCATTGATCATGTTAAAAAGGTGAAAAATTTATGTTGGAAAGTGGATATATCAATGGAAAACTTAATAGACCCTATAATAATAAACCTCAAAAAAGACAATGATAATGATACCAGTAGTTACAGTAAAGACAGTGACTTTTAAAGATAGTTCTTAACTATTTTTTTTTTAATCCTTAATTCTAGGTATTCAAGTGTTATTATAATATCAAGAGATTAAAAAAAGTTTAATCCCATTAACAAAATATTATCCTCATTGTTATTAATTGGATGAATTTAATTCGTTCAATGTTAAAGTGCAACAATTGTGTCAGAAGCATAAGGATTATTTTTATTTTTTGTAAATAATATAACTTTTTTCTTTTAAAATTTAATTTACAAAGTGCGTTATTTTATATGCCGTGACCTTATTTATATTGTACAAACTTATTTTGCAAAGTACGCCTATGGAATGTGACGTTATATCTCCACTTTTTAGTTAATTCCTCTTTTATTCAGACTATAGGGTAAAATAGTGTACTAAATCGCTTCGCCAACTTTGTAATGCCTTTCTCTAGAAATAAATAAGACAGCTTAATGGGTAATTCTTAGACAAATAATTAGTTCATAAGTTTTTTAGATTAAAATTAAAGATTAGTCAATAATAACTAGTAACAATATATCTATAAGTAATAGGTGCAATCCATTAAAAATATAAATCAATTATTGCTGATTTGAAGATTTATTTGTGTACTTATTGTTGGGATTAATTTTTACTAATTATTGTTTAAAAAAATTGTCTATTAGACTCAAATATATACTCCCTCAACCTAAGTAATGCTTCCCATACATCATGATAAATGGATCGATCTCGGAAAGTGTTCTTTGTTATTAGATAGAAAAGGTAACGTGATCCATCTTGAAGTTCTGGTAATCGACCAAGTTTATTTCTAAAAATAGATGCCAGACCTCGAGCGTCATTTATGCTGGTGGAAGTTCTATGTACCAGCTAATAGTCTTTTGGAAAAAGATTTTGTTGTCGCTAGGTTGTAACATCCATATCTTGCTTTGCCGGTACCTCCATTTGCACCCATAAATTCTTCAAAGGCAAGGTCAGATGATTCTTGGCGTTAGACTATTTTTCTTCTTGGTCATGGTCACTCTTAAATGATGCCATCCGATTTTCCGGTTTTCCGGTTTTCCGTTTGGCACCTTTTTTTTGATGACGTCTATTACTCATAGCACACAGGTAGTACATTTCTTACATCAGTCCTTTACAACATCGAAACTGTTCTTCCAATAAAACCTTTCACGAACTTTCTGGAGGGTTTTCTTAACATCGAAATGTTCTTTAGATGGACTGTCAAGTAAGTGACAAAGTACTTCAGCTATTCTTTGTCATCATTTTTCAATACCATCATTTTTAAGTAATCGCTTTAATAAGCCTTTTTCCAGGATAAAAAGTCCCGCTAAGTCAACTATCAGACTGCTAAATTTTCGTGAACCTTCGTACAATCGGCTGTAGATGTATACGATTTTTATATGTTGTTAGAGCTAATGATAACACTAGTTTACAGTACATCTGTTGCCGAAGAAATTTCAGCTGTTGCTGAAATCGTTTTAAAGCTCTTCTCTTATGTGTAGACTTTGTAAAATGACGTATCAAAGACCAACAATAGTTAGACATCATATTCACGTCCCAGAAACTCTGATAGCGCTCTTCCATGACGCGTAAGTTTTGATGCATACGCTTTCCCTGCTCTTCACTCATATCTCCTAAATTTTCCGGAAACCTGTCCAGGTGACTATGAAGGAAGTGAAGTTTTATGTTCATATTGGACCTCATATTTTTTAATTGTAGCAGAAGGTCTTCTACAAGTTCAATGTAATTTGCAGATTTTTTATTTCCGAAAAAATTCTGCATTACAGAGACGAAAGCTGTCCCAGCCTTTAGTTATAACTTAGTCATAGAATTTATAAATTAGGTATCTTTCGTAAGTTGTCTAATTTGTGGCCCATCAAAAATACTGGCTTTAATCTTTTCCATAGTGAGCTGGCAAATGTAAGAAAAGCAGTTTCCGTCTTCATCTAGTGATTTAACAAACTGGTTCATGATCCCCAGTTTTATATGTAATGGTGGAAGAATAATTTTGTCACGAGCTACTAATGAATTCTGGACTATATTTTGCTTTTCAGGCTTCATATTTTCTCTCAAAGGCCAATTTCTTCTTACCCAATGCTCTTGTTTAGCTCTACTGTCCCAAAGACATATAAAACAGGGAAACTTAGTGTAACCACTTTGTTGACCGAGAAGAATGTTTACCATTTTTAAATCGACACAACTTTGCCACTTATGGTCACTGTATTTTATTTCGTTCAAGATTAGCAAAATGTTATAATACTCTTCCTTTAACTTTGTACTGTGGGCAATAGGTACCCCAGCATATTTATTTCCGTTATGTAATAGAATACATTTTAGGCTACGTTTTGAGCTGTCAATGAATAAAGCCAGTCGTTTGGTTCGTATTGTTCCAAGCCTATTTTTATTAACAAGTTTTTAATATCTGAACAAAAGGTATACCGTTTTCTTCGGAAAAATACCGCCGTAATTCTTTATCTCTTTCACGATAAAAACCTATTTTAGTATCTGAGGAAAGCAATTTTTTTTCTTTCAGTCTTGATGCTAACATTTCTGAAGCTGGTTTAGAAAGATTTAAATCTCTTACAAGATCATCTAACTCATTTTGGGAAAAGCATTTTGGCTCATTTGACATACCTTCAAAATCAGCATCATTTTGGAATGAGCTTGGTCCTTCAATGTCTTGTTCTAAGGGGTCAGATATATTTATAGGCACTGAAGAGTCAGGTGAAAGCTGCACTGGACGTTGAACACAACTAGTACTTGGGTACTGCCATTTAGCTCGATTTTTAGTGTTCAAACCGTTTACGTTCACGGTACAAAAATAACAGTCTTCGAGATGATTTCGTCAAATAGTCGGTATTTCAAATTTTAAGGCATTTCTTTTACCACTTTTCCATAATCTTAAATATTTCACACACAATTTACAAATACAATTGGTAGCCCAAGGCTTCTCGTTTTTATCCAAGAGCATCCCAAAATACTCAAAATAGGTATTTTTCACCAACTCTGATATAACTTTTCTACAATTGTTAAACACATATTCTCCGCATATATGGTAAAAATGATCTGGATTGTTCAAATAACGTCTCCTTAAACTACTCATAACGCAAAAACTTCAGATACTAATCTTAACACAGTAATATATGCCTGTTATCGAATAATATACACGCTTAAATGATAAAAATTAAAAACAAAGTAATTCGAGCTGCTCAAAAAATTTTGAGGTTAGATCTGACAAAAACAAGTCGTAAGTGAACAGTATTAACCACAGAATTCACGGTAACAGACAAAAAGTTAAATTTTATAACCTAGTGTAATGTATGATGTATCAAGGCAGATGGATGTAATTGTAGAAGTCAGCAAGACTGATGATGTCTTGTAACACGACATACAAAAGAGTAGGTAATTTTATATTGTTGAACTTTCTTCCTATAGTGTATTTTTTTAATATTTACATAGGTGGTCAATATTTATTAATTTGGATTTCAAGACAATAGAGCGCTAACGTCTTCAGTCTCTAAAGTCAAATCACTGACAGTAAGAGAGATTCTAATGTAAGCATCAAAATCACATTTTATGTGTAAATTAGATAGCAAATTATTTAAGTATTTTATATTTTTAGTCACAATGTATGAACTTATAGACAAATCACTTGTTTAATTTCTACTCGAGCATCTGGCAGCAGGAGTTTCAAAATAAGGACTTCGAAAGCTTCGTGAAGTATTTGCGGGTGTTGAAGTATGTGTTCCTGGTGACTGATACATTGGTGAACGACAAAATGTTGACATTGTTAGATCCGTTTGCCCTGTATAAGACGTGGGACTAGTCTCGGCCGCGAATACACACATGTCGTCGTGTTCATCTTGTACGCCGCCCATACAATAAGGTCTATGAGGTGGTGCTTGTCCAGGAACAGATGATTCATACTGTAGCCCTAAAATTATATCTTTATGATACCTTATACTATTTTAGAATGGTTAATCAATTTTTTTAATGAATTAAAAAGGCTTACTTACATTCTTCTGGTTCTTGTAGAGCATCGTCTGCAAAGTCAAACGATATATCTTGATATGGACAATTGGGAAAGCTAGCTTCGCCTATGATATCTTCTGCAGGAGCCCCTAAAATTTAAAGAATTTTATCAAAAGCTCATCATTCAAATTTCAATATACGATCAACTGGACAGTTTAGGATTTCTGGATAATTTTAAACTTTTTAAATTAGTTGAATCTTATCAACTTACATTCCACAAGTTCGTCAAATTCTACGTTAGCTGAAATTGGATCAATGTTAACGTATTAGGACAATTAAATTTTTTCTAGAACGAACTCACCAGCACGTGAAAAAGGTCCAGGACTAGGAGAACGTGAACCTGAAAAATAAAGTTAAAGTAGAATTATGGTCTTAAAACTAATTTGAAGTGAATATTGGTTTTTATGAAATCAGAATAGATAGAAAAAATATAATAAATCGTTTGGTTCTGGAAATGTTCACATTAAACTGCATATTGACAGATAATAAGTATGATGATTTAACATTATATTTTTAAACAATTTAAAATTAAAAATAAAATTTTGTGTCTTCACCATTTAGATAGAACAAAATACCAACTTTTACTGGTGCGAAAAGTTTAAAATTCTTGAAAAAAATTGGTCAATCAAAACAAAACCATTTAGCAATAATATAAACAATGACATTTTGGCAGACATTTTGTAAACAATAATATATTAATTATAATAGTAGGTAACTCTTGCGGTTAGATACCCAACCTTGGCTACTTTTTATTTGATTTTTAATACAACGATTTAATTTTTAAAATCAATAAAAAATATTAGATATAAACAATATGAAAAATAGTTAAAAATTGTATAGATATATTTACGAAAGAAATAAATTGTGTAACACGTGCAAAAAACACCATTTTCCACTAGCTCGTGGGAAACGTGTTATTTTTCACACTTGTTGCACAAACTCCTTCCAATACAGCTGCCATGAGAGATGAGTTCTAATATTCTCGGTTGCTTTAAAAATAATACAATTTATATGTGTGGTGTAAATTAGGCTTTTAATAATTTAGCCTTCAAGTCAGGACTACCGGGACCAATGAGGTTATACCGAAAACGCGAGAAGGTAAAACTCAAGAGTCATCTGTCAAGATGGTTCTGAAGGTGCCTAAATTTCAACAAGTTAACGGTTCTGATATTTTAAAATCGATAACTTGTACTTTTAACTTTGCTGGATAGATGTCATCGTGGATACTGTTTTTAAGATAAAAACATAAGTTGGAAAAATGGTAAAATGAATTATTTTACTCTGTTTAGGAGTTGACTCTCAAGGGTCGGACCGTTCCCACGGCGCATAGGGATCGCGCAGACGTGGACACGCGCCTATTGTATAGCACAAGTAAAAGTTGAACAGGCTTTTGCTAGTTTTCCCACTTTATACAAATACATTGACAGGTTTGCGGTGGATCTCACCGAAGTGGACGCGATACATTGGCGTACAAAATTATTTTATAGATGTTAAAAACAATTTCGAGTTAATAGTTTAATAAATTGTGAATAGCTGTTGAAATTTTGTAAAATTATGATTTGAATATTATAATACACGTTTAATAATTATTTATAGCCCATAAATACATGCGATTGTCCAGTTTCGCCGGTAACAATTTAAAATTACTTATTCTATGAAACGACACTGGCAGGTAAACATTACTGCGAAATTCTCGAAGCCGTCTGACGTGGTTTGACGTTTACCCCCTCTCTACCTGCCAAAAGCCTTTCCAACTTCTACTTGCGCTATAGTCTGTTTTACGACGGCAGTGTTGGCGATACAAATTTCATAATTTGGTTTAATTTTTTATTGCACGAAAAGATGCATGCCTTTTTAAATATAATGTTATAATATGAATGTCCTGACAGTGACAGTTTATATTTATTTTTTAGAGAAATGAAAATAAGTATTGTACAAATTGTTTTTAAAAATATATGAAATGATTATTTACAATCTCACCTAATTTATTAATTATTAGTCCTGCCCAGTGTCGGATTGGGCCGTCGGTCTACCGGCAAAAGACAGGTAGGCCTTCATTCAAGCTGTGGGCCCTCTTTTAGGCAGTATGCCCTCGTTCGGGCAGTGTGTCCTCGTTCGGGCAGTAGGTCCTCGTTCAGGCACTGGACCTCAATCAGTGGGCCACATTCAGTGGGCCTAAGTCAGTGGACCTCAGTCTATGGGCCCTTGAGAATAATAAATGCGAAATAATCTTTGGAAAGAGCATCAATGTACAAAGAGGGCCTTCTTTGCTTTTCAAGGAATCGGCCCATGAAAAAAAATTGATATGTAGGCCTTCTCCATCCTAACCGGTAGCCACTGGAAGTCCCGATCTGACACTGCTCCTGTTTGTCCAAGAGATTTAATAGCCTCATTAGAAAATTTATATAGCTCTATTTTTTTAAATTGAAGGGAAACGATTATATCACAGTCATTTTATATAGTGTTTAGATTATATTATAATAATATATTTCTTCTTTTTTCTATTTAATCTCTTACCAAATCACTTCCAATTTTTAATTTTAATCCCTCATGAAATTTCAGTCAAAAAGTTTATATTAAATTGTCTCTACTTTCTAATTAGTATTTATCAAAAAGATATATATTCGGGATATATTTTCAGTATTATTTTGTATTACTAAGAGATCCTTTAAGTAATTGTCTGCTATAATATACTCGTATTGTATGTTTCTATACAATGTTGTCAGATGTTACCATTTGCCAAATATGTTACCGATTTTAAAATTTCTATTTGTCTTTGAGAATACGGATAGTGTCAGTCGATCGACATTTTGATAGCCATTAGTAGTAGACATTATGACTAATGCGAAATTTTTAATAGACATTCGAGAATAGGGCCCTGGTTTTAGATATCCGTACGTATAATTTATTATATAATATACGAGAAAATAAAAAAAAGTTTGGTTTTATAAAATGTATTAGACTTACCTCCAGTGTAACCTCCACCAAAAGAGCCCCAAGGATCTGATCCACCAGTGGCTAATCTACTATTTCCAGGTGCGGTTCCAACTAGAATATAAATTATTTTAATTTAAATTATACCAGCAGTCTTCACGAAAAGGTATATTTAAAGTAGAAAACCTAATTTTTTAAGCAGTGATTTAAAACACAATGCGGTATATCTCTCTGTCGCCCTTAGTCACCCAAGTCAATTTTTAAGAACGGATTAC